AGTTTAGTAAATATACTTGTGGTAATTGAATTAAATTTTTAATAGTATATATTAATTTCTGATAGCATAGAATGGTTTATTGAGGTATTTTAGAACTTCCGTTTTAAAGATCTGGGAATTTTTTAATTTTTTAGTTTGTATTAAAATTTACGAAGCTTCATTTATAAACTTTTCTTTTATTTTAGTTACAACAGATTTGTTCGGTGTTTAACTTTTTAGGGTTAATATACATTCACATAGTATGGAATAATTTGTTAGATACTGCTAAAATTAATTTGTGGCGAAATTTACAGATTCCCTTTTAATTTTTAGTCATCGTTAAAATTTACAAAACTGTGTTGGGATATGGAATATGGAAAATTTACATGACTTGGAATTCTATAATTAATTTCCAAGTCCAAGCTATTATACCAGATATGCCTATATTATAATACAAAAATTTATTTTAATTTTGCAACGTGAAAATGATCGATATCTCGTAGCACACATGCAAATCTCGCGACGAATCTCATTCTCAAAATTTTAGCATAATCGAATGGAGAAGTAAATAATACAGTTATTCAAAGATATTTGAAGACGTTTAAAGACGTTTGAATAGGTTTAAAGATATTTGAAGGCATTTAAAGAGATTCGAAGACATTTAAAGGCATTTAAGGACGAATTAGAAGGGAAATTAATTTGGCTAATTCGAGATTAATTTCCAATCACGTTTGATCGTGCGATTGTGGCGATTGCTCGCGTAGCGGCTTGCGCTAATTACTCCTTGATTAAAACCTCTGGCTGCACTTTCCTTCGTCTTCGCGGCTCACACGATCCACGTTGCGGAAATGTCATCGTTAGTTCGTGATTAATCGAAGTGACGAAACCGCTGGCTAATTATCGGCGTCCTTCTGAGGATGCGCTGTAGAATACGGTGATTAAGAACGGACAATTATTAATGGATTTTAATCTTATTTCTCTCGTTAGAGATAGAACGCATCGTCTCGAGGAACCAGCAAATTACCCTCGGCCGACTGCATCGTTGTTTCGTAATCAAATTCACGGAATTAAATCGCATGCGAGATGTTTGTTTACGACACGCGCGAAACTTATTTTTTGGTGACGAGAATTATACCTCAAATTGTACTTAAAATTATGCAAATGCTTCTTAACCCTTTACTTACCATTTTGGATATTATTTTATAGAATATTTTCATTTTATTAATATATATACGATATATATTAATTCCTCCTTTGCGATTCAATGCTAATAAATATACATAGGAATGTAATATCAATGGGTGACAGAAATATGCAAGTTGCACTCTAATTTCTCGTCTTAATATTATAAATTCTTCTTACAAAAATTTTCCAAATATATTTGGAGGTAGTAGGAAATTATTTTGATACCCTCAATGAGAGATGAATTTGAACGAAGAATACAATATTCAAACGGCACTTGTACCTTCGCGTAATAACGGAATATCAAATATTAATATTTCCGTTGGAAATTATTCGAGTAGTATAATTCCGTAGCTGGCATTTGAAAGTTAAATCGAGAGTATTTCAAGGTAATTGCGAGTTAAGCTCTGGAAACGTAGGCATCTCCGCTAATTCGCTTGAAGAGGGAACTTTGATCGTTACGGCGAACTTTTATCGAGCTTCCGTTATTCCATCGCTCTTTAAAAGTTGTCAAAGGCAAACGTAGGCAGTTGTAAAAAAAAAAATTCAAGGTTTCAGTACGCCTTGTTCCCTATACGCGGTAATACATCGTTAATTATCCGCGACGCGATAAAATTCAATTAGTCGTAGTAAATCGAAGCTCCCGGCTTTTACCGCGTGCAATTAACAGTTTATTAAACTGTCCATTGAATCGTAATAACGATACGTTGTACCATTTTTCGTAACAGCAGTCATACTGCTGGGATAATCGATGCGTTTATTAAATTCGTCGCGATATCGTTCGATTCTACCGATTTTACATTTTGAGTAGTCGATAAATCATTCTTCAATTGTGATCCATTTCTCGTACGAGTTATGTTCTTTCTAAATTAAATTTAATAATTAGGGAATACAAAATGCAAAAATGAGGATTCGTCATTTTATTTTATTATAAATAACAATCTTTAATTTATAATATAATATTGCTTGTAAATAATAACGGAGGTACCTGTAACAATAATTAATAACAAATGATATTACAATATTAGGGAACTGACCAAATAATTTTAATAAATAGGGAATACAGAATGCAAAAATGAGGACACGTAATTTTATTTTATTATAAATAACAGTCTTTAATTTATAATATAATATTGGTAGTAAATAATAACGAAGGTACCTGTAACAATAATTAATAGCAAACGATATTAAAATATTAGGGAATTGGCCAAATAATTTTTCCCTAAATTTTTATATTCTATTTTAATAAATAAATAATTTTAATAAATAGGGAATACAAAATGCAAAATCTTTAATTTATAATATAATACTGTTTGTAAATAATAACGAAGGTACCTGTAACAATAATTAATAACAAAGGATATTACAATATTAGGGAATTGACCAAATAATTCTCTTCCAAAATTTGTATATTCTATTTTAATAAATAAATAATTTTAATAAATAGGGAATACAGAATGCAAAAATGAAGACTCGCAATTTTATTTTATTATAAATAACAATCTTTAATTTATAATATAATATTACCAGTAAATAATAACGAAGGTACCTGTAACCATAACTAATAGCAAATGATATTACAATATTATGGAATTGACCGAATACTTTTCTTCCAAAATTTTTTATTTACATTTAAATTTCATTGTATCAACAATTCTAAATGTTGCAATTATTGTACAGAATTTAACGATACGCCGATCATTTAGTTATACCTATTGCAAATTTTTAATATTAAAATTAAAAAATTTCCGATACTCATTTCGCAACAGCCGCAAATGGCGCCTCCGCGTAAATCCTCCACTATCTCCGGCACGCGCAATTAGCATCCCGCATGCAACGCGTCACGGACGAGCCACACTCTCGAGATACTCGACGAAGAGCAGTGACTACGATAAAGCGTAGAAAAGTTGGAAAATGCGTGTTCTTCGGTCATACCAGAGGTCGACGTCGGTTGAACCGCGTCGATAATAGAGTCGGTTAATTGGGATCACAAGACGACGAAGGCGCCTCGATTCCTGCGTCAAGACGATCGTCAAAGACCCCAAGATCGCCAAAGGTGGTGACATCGCTGTTTGCCTCGAAAAATAGCCTCGACACGTGAGAGTCCGTGTTGACATACAGCGTAGGCACTTTAATTGAACTCGCTCGAAGCCTGCGGGCTGTGTCGGAACGAAAACAAATATTCGCGACACCTATACGTTTTCGAACAAAGTCATCAGTCACCGTGTATCGCGTTCAGCGTAAGCATTGTCCACGTGATTCCATTGTGCGTGTTGAAACCAGTCGTCTGTATAAGCAGCAGCAAATTCGCTGCGTTAGGCCAATCGGTCTTTGGGACAAAATTGAAGTCATGGCGACCATTTTGTACTCACCATCGAGGGAGTTCGAGGTTTCTAACCTCAATGAGCCCTGGTCTTCTACAAATAGGAGTTCTTGACCTAGGAATAATTATGTATATGTATAATATGCATAATGTGTCGATGAGGTACGTACGTAAATGGACACGTGACATCTATAGATGTATTATACTTACCACGTTTGTGTGTATATAGACATTTAGAGCCATAACAGCCTCAGTAATGTATAGATTTCGATAGTAGAATGAAAGCGATTATTTTATTTCTTCAAATTAAGAATGCAGTACCTAATTACAAGTCAGTGATGTCCTTAGCTCTTACTGATGGGGTCCACTAGCTTGTCCAGGACCAAACGTATCCTATTCTTTTCTTTACTTTTCACATACGCAGACATGCACACTGTGTTCATCAATACCATCTCAAAATATAATATATCCAATAATATTCAATTTTCTGTTAATCCAAAGTGCTCAATGAGCCCTTAGTTTCCCACAAATAGGAGTTTCTGACCTCTCACTTAGGTTTTATTGACGAGTCCACTAGCTGGTCCAGGACCAAACGCATCCCATTCTTTTCTTTGCTTCTCACATACACAGACACACACACTGCGTTCATCAGTACCATCTTAAATTATAATATGACCAATAATATTCAATTTTTCGATAATCCCAAGTGCTCAATGAGCCCTTGGCCTCCTATAAATAGAAATTTCTGACCTTTCACTTAGGTCTTACTGCCGACTAGCTGGTCCAGGATCAAAAGCACCTTATTCTTTCCTCCTTCTCTTTCTTTCTCACATAGGGATACTGTGTTCACAGTGCCACCTCGAAGTAATATTCAACGCATATAAATAGAACACGACAAACGCTACCATGCTCTTGACAATTGTTAATTGAGAAACGAGGGAGATCCACAGCACTCGTTAAAAAGGAGCAAAAGTCGATTCACGTCCATCGTTGATCTCCTCCTGCGCGTTTCCAACCTTCTCGTTCCATTTCGTTTGCCGAAATAGCCGGACGAGTCGCAGAAACGGGGCTAGGATTTTATGGGATTCAATTGATCAGAAGGACGAGCCTGCTGTGTACGTGCTCGCAATCCGCGAGAAGAAACGTGGCTCGTTAATTCCGGGGATTTAGCCGGCTGCCTGTGCAGAGACGCATTCGATCGTTCGTCTCTGTTTCAGTCGCAATATATTCTCATGCGAATGACTTTGTAACGCGGGGAATAGAATTTCCAGGATTATCATATTCTTTAATTGCACTTCAATAATCCCGGACTAATCCTACAAATTTATTTATGTATTCTAAAAATCGGTATAGATCCTAAAATAGAGACTAAATAGAGTGAAATGATTTTGCAGTGTCTCTCTATTTTTACGATTAAATCATGGCGCAAGGGGTTATAGTGATACAGTCATAGCGCTTCTCATCAGGAAGATTCACACGTGACCAGTGGTGCATTAATTTTTCATTTATGTTGCAGCAAAAATGCGTGAAGGCGCGTGCCTTGTACGACAACATCGCAGAGGCCCCGGACGAGCTTGCGTTTCGAAAGGGGGATGTTCTTACCGTGCTGGAACAGAACACCGCTGGCCTGGAGGGTTGGTGGCTGTGCGCTCTGCGAGGTAGACAGGTAATTACCTCCTTTAACCAAACTTTTCCCCGTGCTTTTCAATGGCGAGCTGATTATATTTCGCTCGACCACGATACTTTAGCCGAATAACATTCGAACGCGGAGGGACTTGCCTTCGCTCGGTCTAGTTGCACCGGCAACTTCGCGTTATTAATTAATTATCCTGCAATTGCTTTACGTTCAAACGCCAAACTTTCTCGCCAACTGCAGGTCCGTTAATGTTCCGGACGAATGTCTAACGTTGCGGTCGCTGTACGCAAGAAGTCCGGTGCTCGTGTAGTCCTCAGGGTCGTATATAAAATTACCCTTCCTGTGAATATTTTTATTGTCCAAGGAGAGGATAGATTTTTATCTCGGATATGAAATAATAAAAATTCTCACTTTATATGTCAGCAGATAATTTTCTCTTCGAAAGTTAAATAATTCTCCCAGGTCGAATCGAATTCAGAAAATTAAAGTTTATTTAGTAAATAATTAGAGATTCTTTCAGCAGTCTTATTTGAACCCCCACAGCTATTAACCCTTTGCACTCGATGACTTTTTCGTTACAGAAAAATAGTAATTCGAAGACTTTCTGTCATAGAATCGACGATATTTTTAAAATGGTAAATGAGAAATCATATGCAAATTAAGACGTAGAATTATTTTTCTTCGACATTCCCCGCATCGTTAGGTAATTTTAAATTTGATGTATTAATTAACGTCGATCTTTAGAATCTGATTAAATGGTGACTGAGAGTCACGTCTCGAATGCAAAGGGTTAATTTTTTCCTGGATAATTTTCCCATATAAAATTGGATAATTCTTCTATGTCTTTTTATGACGTTTCATGTTCATAATGGTATTAGGGAAAACAGATTAATTTTCAAAATAAGTGGAGCTTCTTTACCAATCCTATTTTGACCCCTATTAATTTTTTCATTAAATCCAAAATATATTTCCATTACCAGGAATACTATTTCGAGTGCCCTTTCCAAGATTCCCCATTAGGTGACTTTTAATATTCAAGTCTTTCGAGTCTTTTAATTATTTAGAGATCTCAAAAAATTCGACCACTTAGATTAATCTACTTGTACATCGTCACGATCTTCCACTGTGCCACGAAGATGCGCATACAAATTCGAACGTGCGCAAAGTCGGTTGTCCCCAAGATACACCATATTTTCGCTGATAAATCACACAGTCCGGGTTCTAACAGTGCACTCTGATGCACCGAACCAGAGACCTGCATCAGCCCACCATCGTCCATCATGGAATCTCCTCGTCGACCAGTCCCCACCCCATCTTCGAAGCATTTCGCAATTGCCCCAGTTGACGATCGAACAGCCACTTACGTAAACGTCCGCGTTCATCGAGATCGCGTGTGTTGGGCTCTCCTCGACTAGGCTCTATCAGCATCCGACAGAGTTTATCAGCCGTACCAGACAAGAAACACACTAGCCTGACGTATAGACGCCGTCTGTGGATTATTTATGCAGCTCGATGCAACTAGACCCCATCGAGCGGACGGGGACTTGAGAGACTTTGGTCCTGTCTCCCTTTCTCTCTCCTTCACCCAGCCTATCCGTCTATCCGTTCGTCTCTCGCTCTCGTGGCACATGACACGGCATTATTATCGCGGAAATAGGACGTTAGGCCGCACCGTTACAGCCTCCTCCGATCTAAGATCTTCATCTGCGAGCATGGAAGAAGGGATAGCGCAGGAACACGAGCTCGAAAGTGCGATCTGACCGGGATCGTTTCCGCGTTCGACATCTGTTCGAAGGATTTCGAAACGGTGCCTGGTGGCTCCATGACCTACGGCAATCTCGTTGGCCAGGCTTATCCGTGATTTTCACGAGCTGTCCCCGTGTCAGACGAGCCAGTCAGACGAGCCCAGCCGGCTGTCCGCGTTCGCTACACGCTGGATAGGCTTGGAATGCGGAGGAACGATGGTTAAGCGAGGTCGGTTCTTACTGGTCGTAACTTGTCACTAGGTGGATTTATCGGGACGTTGTTAAGAGGCAGGGTTAATTGAAATTTCCCCCGTGTCCGAGTCTGCTTGCCTTCTTTCCCGTCGCATGGGTTGGGCTCTTCTCTTTCAGACTTCGCGGTTTATTTCATCCTCGACGCTTCGTGCAGTGTAATAAACGCGTCGAGTGTTCTCCTGCTAGTCGGTGCACGTGTGTAGTTTCTTGAGTTCTTCGACTCGGCTTGCTTCACTCGGTAATTGCTTCATTGACGCGTTCGGTGTGTTTCGAATTTCGATGAAACTTCCTATAGAATACTTTAAACGTAATTTTTAATTTGGCTACTGTTGTCGTTTCTAGAGTAAAAGATATAAGATGATATAACTGGGGTTTGAAACGAAAGGTCGGGGTATTGTAGTTTAACTCGACGGCTGTCTTCGAATATTGTCCTTAAGACCTAATCCACACTCCACTCGTAGTCTACATCCTTTGCTCTTAAAACGCATTGGTCATCCTTGGGAACCCTCTTACGTTTCAGTGCACGTAAACGTTTATGCATTCATCCTTGACGTTTAACTCGTTTGACGCATTCTTAGAATATCCGCCTCCTCGGTATCTAGTCATTCTGCAGCTCACGGTATCTGACAGAAACTCATCTTCGTATGTACCTCTTCGATTAAATTTATCACATTTTCCGAAGAATTTTCTCACGGGGTGAATCACCTCGAGCTGGTATTAGCCAGCAATTTTTTCAGAAACTCAGAAAGACATAAAAGAGGAAAGAATTGTACAGTTCTTTACGTGGAATAAGTCAGTGTATACCAATCTTCCATATTCATATTACGAGTTTTCAAATGAAATGCCATATATCTTTTTAAATCACGTGAAAACCTGTATCAGGACAAGTTCAAACACACGATATACTATCACTTTCAAGGTTATTCAAAGGGCCTTTAGAAGGTTCCAATTCTAAAATAAATTATGCTGAATAGATTTTTCGAAATTTTACTTTATTTTAATTACGTTTCTCATACTTCCAAAATAAAATACACTCGCGTGACAGATGGATTCTACGTGTTCTAAAGCTCGTAGCATCGCTTCGTAAATAATTGCCATACGAAGGATAAAAATTGTAAAATGAGATATACTTAGGCGAGAAATAGTTCTTCTTGGAAGCTTATTCTAGATTCCATACCCTGTTTCGTTTCTTGCATTTGAGATTCGACTTCGGGCAACCTTCTGATGGTGATGGCTGACGTTCGACGTATCGTTCCCTTCGACGTAGACAGAAGGCATATAACAGAAGGATATAACGCATATGGTGTCGGTTGAAAAGGAGAATCGTGGGGGTGGCTCAAACTGGAAATTGGAAAACAGGGGTTCGCCGGTGTACTACGAGTTTACGAGGAAATTACTCGTGTTCGCGTTACGGGTTGCTGCAGCTGCGACCCGTTGCACGATTGCCTCATCCTTTATTTACAAGCCTCTGCATTACACGAGAAATGCATCAGAGCCGGCTAGTTATAAAATTTCAACTTCGACTTGCTTGAAACGTCGATACCTGGCGTTTACGCGTTCAGTTTCTCGGCTCGACGATAAATTCTTCGACTTACCTTGTTGGCAGTTCGTGTAATCGATGGACACAGCTATGTTGAAGATGTGCTGGTTCAATTTATGTAGGGAGAATTAAAAATACTGCGATTGTCGATTAAACGTTTACTCTCTTCTGCATTTTTCACTTGGGATTCTGTTTAGGGACTTAGATGGGAATTGTCGTGTTTAATTTGCTGTTTAATAGTGGCATGAGAAATTTTCGAGGTTTATGGTGCACACTTTTCATAATTAGCGAACAGTAAAGTAATTATAATGGTTACACTTCTTAACTTTAAGCTGATTTTAACGAGACACGATATTCGACTTTATTCGCTTGTATTCACTACGTTCACTGGAGATACGGTCCATGGTGGCGCTAGTGAGTTAAGTGGTATAGCGTCTGAAGGCTATCATGACCAGTGGTACTTTTCAGTAATATTATACGTCTCTTACGCAATTCTTTACCATTCACCAGAATACCACGTATTTAGAATAAATGTATCACGAATTACTTTCAAATTTCGCTCGTATAATTTTAACAGTTCCTTGTTGCGGTACACGTCATTGTCGTTCCAAATATTTCACTGTATCATACGTGTATCTCTTCCCAAATGCAGTACACGTAATCCTTCGAGTACTTTCACGTACACGTATATCGTATACACGACACACAGCTAACTCAGCTTCCCAAACGACTGGCCTATCGATCCAAAGATTATCGCGGCCCATCGAGCAAACGTCGCCATTATTTAAACCCCGAGTGTCCCACCACGTGCAATCCAGCGTAACAATTCGATTTATTCGACTTTCGCCGTTCGACTTCCATCACGAGTGCCAGAGTTTCATTTAACGACTCGGATCGAGGCTGTTCGATCATCCTGAACGAAAGTTGGCCGAAATGCGGCCGACTCACGGTCGCCTTAGCCCTGGACACGTCATCGACTTGGAGATCGATTTGTCTCGCACGTCCACGCGAAAATTAACGGCAGATGCGCTCGTGCGACATAACGGGTGTGCGAACGGGTCCTGAACCAGGCCGCGTGTTCTCTCTTTTCACGGTAGAGTCAATAGAATCCGTAATGGAGCGGGCTCTGTCCCGGCACATTGTCGATTTTCGGCCTCCTATGCACACGGCAAATGAACAGTTTTGTAGAGCTAGGTACACAGACCGTCGTCTGCCGGTGTTTCGAAAATGAACGCGCGTTGTTCGTCGCTGGAACGAGCACACGCGAATCCCTCCGATCTGTGTTTCGACCTGTGTTTCCAATCGAACCGAACGTCGGGGCCATTTGATCGAAAGAAGCGGTGGATACGGGTCCTCGTGTAAATAGGGATTCGATTTTTCGAACTCGGAGATTCGTTTTGATTGGGTCAGGTGAAGATGAGGCTGCCCGAGGATTGGGTTAGGTTTAGCTAGGGTAAGTTACGTTCTCTGGTTTTTCTTGGGGTTTCGTTTCGACCGGTAATGGGATAAGGTTTCGATGCCAATCTTGTACTGCCAAAATTGCCTCCGAATATCGAAATACGATATGTTAATCCTCTGCACTTGGCAATTTTTTGGTTAGAATAGAAATTTGAGCATTCTATGATATAAAGTCGATGATACTTTTTTAGAATAGTAAATACAGAATCGTGTATAAATTAATTTCTAAGGAGGTTGTCTTTTAAGTGCAAAGAGAACTCTCAGTTTTATAATATGGCGATGAAAAATAGTATACTAGTAATATATAATAAGGAGCATAGTAATTCCTCAGTCACCATAGTAAGAAAATCAAATACAGTGTACCAGAAATATTTTGATGTAGTCCGTAAATTAGATTTCTATCTTGGTCAATGTTATTATATCACTCTATAGGTATAGAACGTAAGTACGACCTTTTCCACGTCTAATAAGTATTGTAATATGGCGATGAAAAATAGTATACTAGTAATATATAATAAGGAGCATAGTAATTCCTCAGTCACCATAGTAAGAAAATCAAATACAGTGTACCAGAAATATTTTGATGTAGTCCGTAAATTAGATTTCTATCTTGGTCAATGTTATTATATCACTCTATAGGTATAGAACGTAAGTACGACCTTTTCCACGTCTAATACGAGACGACAATAGCCACACTGCCCAAACCGAGTAAATATTCCTATTAGTCTAGTCGGCCAGGAATATTCAATCTACCAAAGCCATCAAACTAATCCATTACTATAAACTTTAGCAACCAACCGGTATTCATTTACCCAGCTAATCCTCCGCTCACCGAATCCAACATATTTCCACTCTCGGTAAACACCTTCATCCACCTCGATCCCCCAACTCCTCGTCACACATTTCAGGCTCCCCCATTTTCCGCTGTCGTCGACCCGCGATTACGCCACGTTTCACCTTACCCTCTGCATGCATACCCGAATATCAAACTCTCTTCTACCGAGGTTAGACATATTCGACAGCTGTTCCGTCTGTCACAAAGTCGCGAAGACCAACGTTACACGCGAGCGAATCAGAAATCTCAGACATTGCTTCCCATCCATCGATAGTTCCTTCTCAGCTGAGACGGCTAGGACACTATAGTTCGTCCAAAAAGACCAGATAACATTGTCTACGTTAACCTCTTTACATTTCCAATCGTTGACCTGTTGAGTGAATTGCTCTTTTACACGTATCATTTGTCAGATTACAATAATTGAAACGTGATTATCGATCTAACACTCGCTTACATCCTGAAACATCGTGGTAATTCTAATGGGTATTAATTATGGATCGTCTATTCGTTATCCAGTGACAACTCATGCATGGAGTTCACTGTCATTCCGTGATCAGCCACGTCGCTCCCAGCTATCGCTCCACTTTCCCAAGCTTCAGGTTCTACAAGTCCTTTTCAGTCAGCCTTGTCTGCCATGCACCATGGTTCTTTTCTTTTCGCTCACTGGGTTCCGCTTAATCATCATTTGGGTCCAATGACTCTGTGGAGTCAGGTCTGATCGTCTCGTTGGACGAACCGCACAGACGCCTCTACACGTCAACTTGCACCCACTGCTACCCTTGAGTCCAGCCTCTCGGCTAGCCTGTAAGAGGTCTTGTAAGAACCAATAATCAGGACTGGCAGCCCGTTTATTTTCGTTCCGATTTCACGAAGCTTCAGGGTTGCAGACGTGTCTAATTGCAGCCTCCTTTCTGTTTCCACGCGATGATTCGATGGTGTATTTCTCGGTATGCTTTGGGCCAACCAAAGTGGTTGGAATCGTCCATGTCCTAGGCTAGGCTTCCTCTTGTTTCGCGAACATCATCGTTGGCAAATACCCACGATCGATTTCACGGACCGCCGCTCTGTCACACGGGGATGCACTTTTGGAAAGATAATGCGTTGAACGAGGCGGGATGGGAGAAAACTCGATAATTCGGTGGACACGAGGAGTTTTGCTCACCAGTGGAACGGATTGGAATTGTTCGGAGACGTTGGTCGATATGATTTATTAAGATTCCTTTAAGCTTTTCGATATTTTTCGTCGATTATTCTCGTTATTTTTATTCTTGCCAATGTTTAGGTTAGGTAATATAATATAGTGAAATGATTTAGGGAGGGAAAATAGATCGTAGTTCATTGAGAAGATAACGTCAGAATTTCGTTTAAGAGACTTCCTGTTTTATTAAGACGATTTTCCATTTAACTCACTAGCGCCACCACAGCCCGTATCTACGATAAACGTCTATCGACAATTTCGTACATATACATACTACAAACTACAACACGTGGATTCTTACATTAGGATCTAAATATCACCCTATCTTTCGATCCCTATTTTTTCTCATATAGGGTGCCGCGAATTATAAAAATAATTAAAATTAAATTCTACTGATCCACATCTAGTCTTTTGTAGACCCCAGTAACATCCGCAGCAGGTGTACAATCATCCCTCAGTTTTAGACCCTAATTACCCTACACCCCTGCTCATTGCACAGTATTCCTTCCCCAGCCTTTCTATATTGCACATACATAACGACTCGTAAATAGTCAAAGACAGATTCCTGTACGAGCTCGTGACTTAACCCTCGAAATAGACACGTCTTAAATAAATTTTCAATCGTGTACTTCATTTCCGCCAGCCGGGATTCAACGGAATAAAGATGGAATTCATCCGGAACAGCGAATGTTCCATAAAGATTGTTGCAGTGAACGATAAATTTGCTGGAATGGAGACTCGTGTCTCGATTGCTTCGTGCAACGTGTCCTTTCGAAGCCTGGGAATGCATATCGCGACAGAGTTTGGCCGGTCTAGCGATATTACTTTAAGCCGTTATTATTCCCGCCGGTTGTACGCTGTTATTGCTATACATTTTTCTTTTTACTGCCCAGGGCATCTGTCCAGGAAATCGATTGAGACTCCTGGTTGGCCAATATGATACAGGGGGTTGTTTGGTTGGCAGCAGGCCTGACCTAACCATTTCTGAAGACGGTATACAGAGGCATGGAAAACGGCGTAGCTGGCACGTTCAACCGAACAAGGTGAGTTATTTGCTATACGATCCCATTATTAAATTCATGGGGCACAGAAGATTTCTGCAATATTCCTGTGTCGGCTCGTTTATCCGTGGAATAGACATGTAGGTAGAAAGTGAATTCTTTTTCCAGTAATTTAGATGGAAATTGATATTCTAGACGAATCGTTCTTCGGTGTTAGCATACGAACGAATTTACGGGAATGAAAATAGAAATACACGAGGCTTGCAATGCACTCTTTTGTCATTCTACGCGAATGTTTTATTATTGCATTAATTAATATTAATTAAGAAAAGGAAAAGCTAACGAGAACCCAAATTCGTATAAAAACTAGTAAATTTAATATTCTTTCTAAACAGAAAATAATTATTCAAAGATAAAAACTTTTTAACCCGATCTCCAAAAGATTTCAAAAGCAACAAGATTCTCTCCGCAAAATGATAATTAATTCGTTCATTCGAGAACGAAGATCTTCTCTCCTGATTTCTCTAAAATTTCAAACACTCTGCCCCAAAGATAATGGCCGAAGAACACAAATGGTCTCGTTAAAAGCTAAAATTCCCGCAGCCAAGGGCAAATAGAAAATAGAAGCCGGAATCCAAGGAACCTCTCTGGCGAAAGCGCCATGCGCAAACTCCAAAAGCCATCTAAACATAATACCTGTCTCGGGATTCGGCCGATTGTTCACTTAAATGCTTAATCCAGCCAGCTCGTTGAACCTCGATCAACCATTCGATCCGTCTCCCCTCGAGCGCGTGCTTTACCGGCGCGCAGCTGCCATCTCGCATTAATTTATTCGCTATTCGAAAAGACGCAGAAAATTTATAAAGTCCACCCCTGCACTCCGCCCTGTCCCATCGATCGGCCTTACACGCGAAACGCCGCTCACAATGGCGTCGGCGGCGGTTCCATTGTGCCTGCCGCAGACCCCATCGCGCCCCCATCGCACCCCCTTATGTCGGCCCTGGTCCGCGACGGGAGTCTGTCAAAATCAGCTGACTACCAATTCGTTTGTCGCGTGTCTGCCATTGGCATCGCTTAGCATCTGTCAACCTCACCGATTTCAGTGCGAGCACACCTCGGATCGATCGGCCTTGTCGTGGAAAACTCGCGTTGGAGAACGGGTTCTTTGTTTTCTGTTTTTTTTCTTCCTTTTTTCCTTTTTTTTTTTTTTTTTTTTTTTTTTTT